ATTGCAATGATTACAATCCCCTCCATGCATCATCAAACAACCAAAGGGTACACCCCGCAAGTCTACACCACCCCCCACCCCCTCGGCTGTCAGCACACAGCCCCTTTCCCTCCCTGAGTCCAGAGTCCCCAGTTGCTCTCTCTCTCCATGTCATCATCTCTGCCTCCATCTCTGGCATCACTGCTTCTCTGAATAGAGTCCCGCACTCCACTCTTCTCCCTTGATGGTCCCAGGGTCCTCCATTCCTGGACTGTAAGATCAACCACTCCCCTCCTTTTGTTATAAAACATCTACCTTTACTTTGCAACACTCACTGTCCGTTCTGATAGCAATTATTCACTACTGAACCACAAGAGTCTTATCCCCATCTCCTTTCACCAGCCCCGTCCAGACAGGTTGGAAACCACTCAGTGGAGATTCTACCTTCCCCCCCGTACTCTGTGAAACTAGACTCCCTCTTGAAAGCTTGTAAGCCAGTCACTTCTTGCCTTTGTAGCCCACCCCCATTTTGGGTAGCCAATGTCTACATTGCCCTTCCCTGTCAACCCTGTGTACCACTGTTAACAGTTCTTTTGAAAAACAAACACCCTGGACTCATGGAATGAGAGGGACTGGGTGCTGGTGGCCAGGAGGCAGACATGCAGAATATCCCCTTTTGTTGTTTAAATTATTATATATGTATGAGTGTTTAAAAAAAAAGAAAAAAAGATCTAAAATGAATAAAGAGAAATACTGTTAACTGATAGTACGTGAAGAAAATGATAATCATTGTAATGAAACAAAGTATATGATTTGTTGAATGTAAAACTCAATTCACAATAAAAACTTTTTAATAAAAAATGAATTATGCTTTTCCTGTCATATCTAAATACTCTTTGCTTAACCCAAAGTTACAAAGGTTTTGTTGTTATCCTTTCTTCTAGAAGTTTTGTCATTTTGCATTCTATATCTAGGTTTATTATACACTTGGGTTAAAGGTGGCATTAGGGATAAGTTATGAGTCAAGAGTAATTTGTTTGCATGTGAACACCCAATGATCCCAATGTCATTTGCTGAAAAGATTACCCTTTCTTCATGGAGATGCCTTTGCACCTTTGTCAAACGTTATCAATCGTAAGATGTACATTTTTCACATTTTAATATTTCTGAAATCAGTATGCATACTACAATCAATGGTATCTCATAATTATAAAAATAGTATCACTATTCCTTTCTTAAAGATATATCAAATAATGGTGCATCTTACTATCAATAGCATCTTGTTGTTGTTAAGTGCCATCGAGTCAATTCCGACCTATAGCAACTCTGTATAGGGTTTAAACCGCCAACTTTGTGATTCAAATGACTTTGCAATCTAGTGCATTAACCCACAGTGCCACACCAAGACTCCAACGGCATCTTAGATTTTGTTAATTAAGTATGCTATTCTACAACATTTAGCTTTCTGAAGTTAAAACAGTTAGAAATCTGTCCATCAAAATCTGTCCCCCTTTTCTTTCATAGTAATAACATTTTACCTTGACCTCAATGTCACCAGCTAGTACTACACTCCCAGGCTCCCTTGCAGTTGGTGTGACTGCATGACTAAGTTTGGGCCAATGAGATGCAAAGAGAAGTGATCTGTATTATTTTGATCATCTCCAACAGAGTCAGGTAGGTAGTGTCTGTCTTTCCCCTTCACATAAGCGGGAACTTGAACAAGCCTGGCTGCTTCTCTGTCCAGCTTTCTGTCTCCTTCTAACAGATGCTGAGTTCCTGCCATGTTAACAGGAGATTTCTATCTACCATTTGGATACAAACATATTGCCCAACTTGTCTCAACTGATATGAACTTTAATAATTTTACTATTTCTAGTTCATGAGGGAGTCCTGGTGTGGCACTGTGGGTTAATGCGCCAGACTGCAAAGCCATTTGAACTGCAAGGTCGGCAGTTCAAGCTCACCAGCTGCTCCTCGG